GTAAATTGCTTTTTATACTGTACACCGCCATGAGTCGCCCTGAAGGGCTGAGAATGGCGGTTAATAAATGCATCAAATAAATAAATAAATAAATAAACACAACTTCCTTGGAGACTAGGATGCAGAACAATGGCTTCAAACTACAAGAGAGGAAATTCCACCTGAACACGAGGAAGAACTTCCTGACTGTGAGAGCCGTTCAGCAGTGGAACTCTCTGCCCCGGAGTGTGGTGGAGGCTCCTTCTTTGGAAGCTTTTAAACAGAGGCTGGATGGCCATCTGTCAGGGGTGCTTTGAATGCAATATTCCTGCTTCTTGGCAGAATGGGGTTGGACTGGGTGGCCCATGGGGTCTCTTCCAACTCTATGATTCTATTATTCCTTCTACAAGGGAAATCCTTGACCCCTCCCTGGGCAATCTGGCTTAAGCTCTGCTGGCGTGGGCCCCTACACCCGGTCCAAATTGCGTTATGGCTGCCGCGAGTGGTCCTTACCAAACAGAGTCCTTTAGTAGATTTCCAAGAGGAAAGAAGGCTTTCAATTCCCAGCGAAGGCTGGCTGTAGAGCTGTGGAACTAAATTCCCCAACAAAGGCTATGCTTAGTTCTCTGTAGAGCTGTGGGACTGGATCCCCAGCAAAGCTGGAAAAGACGAAGCCATCTACAGGTGGAACGGATTCACGTCCTGTATGAAAGGCTTCTCTGTGTGAACTGAACTAGAAGTCCCCTTTTCCCCTCCTTAACCCAGAAAAAGGGGCGAAACTAAAGAACATAATGATAACTGATGGGTCATTGGCCCTATTATTGCAAACCAAGGGAAGCCACCTTATTGCAAAATGCATGGAACTTTGGAATACATGCAAACGCTCCATAGAAAGGAAAAGAAGTTGGAGCTCCTGGTACGGCCGTACTAGCACAGTTATCTTGTTTGCTGTGGACTCATCTTGATGTGTTTCAAATAATACTAAGGAGGAGGAGACAGAAGGCCTGATTCTTGCAGCCCAGGAGCAAGCCTTCAGAACAAATGCAATTAAGGCAGGACTGAAAAATCAGCGGATGACCCAAAATGCAGACTGTCCAAGGAAGCAGATGAAACCATGGACCATCTCCTCAGCTGTTGCAAGAAAATGACACAGATGGCCTACAAACAGAGGCATAACTCTCTGGCCCTGTGCCGTCACACCCAGACCCTATAATGTTAAAACCAAGATGTGCTTCTCTCTTTGTCTGGGTGAACTGCTGGGGGTCTTTCTTTGAAGCAATAACTCAATACTTTCAGCAACAGATGCCAGTCAAGATATGAACATCAACAAAATATTTATTTCCAAAGTCCTTGGCAGACTTGGCACAGCTTGATAAAGTTACAACACAAACAGTCAATTTGAGAAACCATAGAGATGTTCTTTCTTTCATCTTTTTCTTCAATTACTGAGGTAACCTTTCTCCAAATGGTAGAAAAAATCCTGAGATATTTCACCCTAACCCTGAGCTGCTCTGGTTAGAAAGAACAGGTCTTCCTCTATCTAAGCACAAGGTCAGTTTTGGAGATGAAGTAATGCTCAATAGTACACAATAACTATTTCTCTCTATATCTCAATAACTCAATTTCTATCTATGACTCAATTACTATCTGAGTATCTTAATATCTCTCTCTATATAACTCAATAAGCTTCTCTTTATCTCTATATCTACCTATAACTCAATAGTACTCACAATGGGTTTTTCAGAGCTCCCTGACTGACCAACAGCACGTCTGAGGCTCTTTTCTCTACTGAAGGAGGCAAGGGAGATTCCAAAATGGAGATCTCAACCCCAGGAAAAAAAGGGCGGACTCCAAACCCAAAGAGATACCTTCTAAACCAATAACTGCAGAGGGCCTGCAGCCTGGCTTTCCAGACTCTGATACTGTTTAACTTCCAGGGTGCTGCTGGGTCTGTAGCAACCCTGGGGAAATGCAAAGGAATGTTACCCCATGCAGCTAAAAGACAATGCAAACCATGCTCCTGGAAGACGGAACAGGCCCAAATGATTCACTGGAACATATGTCACAAGTACCACCTCCCAGTAGTAAAGAACTGGTAAAGGGAGCGGAAAATGAACATGCAAAAATACTGTGGGACTTCCGAATCCAGACTGTCAAAGTTTTGGAACAAACATCACAATTGTGGAAAAGAAAAAAGTTTGGATGATTAATGTCGCCATTCCATTGCATTGAGGAAAAACAACAGGAAAAACTCAGCCGCTATCAAGACCTCAAAATCGAACTGCAAAGGCTCTGGCAAAAACCAGTCCAGGTGATCCCAGTGGCAATGGGCACACTGGGTGCCGTGCTAAAAGATCTCAGCCGGCATTTGGAAACAAGACACATTGACAAAATCACAATCTGTCAACTGCAAAAGGTCACCTGATTTGGATCTGTGCGCATCATTCGGAAATACATAGAATCATAGAATCAAAGAGTAGGAAGAGACCTCATGGGCCATCCAGTCCAACCCCATTCTGCCAAGAAGCAGGAATATTGCATTCAAATCACCCCTGACAGATGGCCATCCAGCCTCTGTTTCAAAGCTTCCAAAGAAGGCGCCTCCACCACACTCCGGGGCAGAGAGTTCCACTGGTGAACGGCTCTCACAGTCAGGAAGTTCTTCCTCATGTTCAGGTGGAATCTCCTCTCTTGTAGTTTGAAGCCATTGTTCCATTGCATCCTAGTCTCCAGAAAACAAGCTTGCTCCCTCCTCCCTGTGTTTAATACCATTTTAATATTTTATTCATTATTTATTTTTTATTTATTTAAAAGTTTTGTATACCGGCCTTCTCACCTCTCTTGAGGGACTCAGACCGGTTTCCAACCATAATATCACATACAATCAATAAAACATCATAATACATATTACAGTAAAACATTAAAACAGCAATTACAATCAATAACTACAATGGTCAGTTGTCACACTAAAATCGCTGCTCATCATCCTCCATCCATATCTCAGGGTGTTGGCTCACTCGTCGAATGCCTGTCTCCATAACCAAGTCTTCACCTGTTTCCTAAATGTCAGGATAGACGGGGTGGTTCTGATCTCCAGTGGGAGAGAGTTCCAGAGTCGAGGGGCCACCACTGAGAAGGCCCTGTCCCTCGTCCCCACCAGACGCGCTTGCGAGGCTGGTGGGACCGAGAGCAGGGCCTCTCCAGACGATCTTAATAACCTTGATGGTTCATAGGGGAGAATATGTTTGGCGAGATAAACAGGGCCGAAGTCGTTTAGGGCTTTATAGGTTAACACCAGCACTTTGAATTGTGCTCGGAAGCTAATTGGCAGCCAGTGGAGCTGGTGTAACAGCGGAGTGGTGTGCTCCCTGTACCCAGCACCCGTTAGTAGTCTGGCTGCCGAGCGTTGGACTAGCTGCAGCTTCAAGACAGTCTTCAGAGGCAACCCCACGTAGAGAGCGTTGCAGTAGTCTAAACAGGATGTAACCAAAGCGTGGACCACCGTGGCCAAGTCAGACTTCCCAAGGTACGGGCGCAGCTGGCGCACAAGCTTTAATAGTGCAAATGCTCCCCTGACCACCGCTGAGACCTGGGGCTCCAGGCTCAGCGATGAATCTAGGAGAACTCCCAAACTGCGAACCCTTGCTTGTGGAATTCCCTCCCCGGCAAGATTAGATCGGCATCCTCCCTCCTTTCCTTTTGGAAAAAACTAAAATTGTGGTTGTGGAACCAGTCTTTTGGCGAGAGAGCACAGCAGCACCAGGGACTTCGAACTGTTATGATCATTGGAAATGGCTATGTGATGTGATGTGATTATTTAACTAATGTTATTAAATTTTTTATATATTCATGGTTTTATATTGTTCTTTATTGATATTGTGGCATTGAATTGTTGCCTATCTTAGCCGCCCGGAGTCCCCAGTCATCGTCGTCGTCCCCCACGCCCCGGGGTTGAGAAGGGCGGAAGAGAAATGCTGTCAATAAATAAATAAATGAATGAATTTGTATATTTTAAGTTGTACTGAAATGCTTTTAGTTGTGAGCTGCTTTGAGTCTCCATATGGAAAGAAAAAGCGGGATATGACTACTACAACAACCAGAGGCGGCCCTAGGTAATTTTCAACGGTAAGCAAACAGTATTTTGCCCCCCCCCCCACCCAACCAATCATTGATATATATTTTCTGTTTGTCGTGGGACTTGTGTGTGCCATATTTGGTTCAATTCCACTGGTGGAGTTCAGAATGCTCTTTGATTGTAGGTGAACTATACATCCCAGTAACTACAGTTGCCGCACTTGCTCCCTTGCCTGGCCCGCTTTGGGTCCGGAGGCGTGCCTGAAGACCCCGGCGTGTGCACCAAAAGTCACCTCTTCTCCTGACTTTCTCCTCAGCCAGTGGGACCAAGAGAGAGAGAGAGAGACAGAGGTGGAGATGCCCACCTTTCCTGAAGGTAGGCGCAAAAACAAAGGAGGGAGCGGAGGTGGGAGATACCTCCAGCCGGAGGGGCTCTCTCTCTCTCTCTCTCTCTCTTGGTCCCAATGGCTGAAGAGAAAGTCAGGAGAAGAGGCGACTTTTGGTGCGCACGCTGGGGTCTTCAGACACGCCTCCGGACCCGAAGCGGGCCAGGTGCGGCGGCTCCGCCCCTTGGCCCACCCGCGGATTGGGGAGAGGAGAGGAGGCGGGTGGAGCGCCGGGGGATCCAGTCATGGGTAAAGGGAGCCAGTCATGGGGAACGATTGAGTGCCGGCTCTGCTCGCGTATCCGGTGGCCGGGTGGAGCAGGAACGAGAGGGGCTAGGAGAGGCTCAAGGTCCCGGCCCCTTTGGGAAGAGGATCGCTCGGCAGCGAGGCAAGAAAGCCGAGGCTCCCCCCGGACTGCTAGGGCTGTTGTGAGCTGAGGGGGCGCTCCTCAAGTGGCAGTCGAGGGGCATTTACAGAGGCACCTCTGCGCCCCTGGCAAAAAAAACGTATTCTGCGACGGCTTACTTCGCGTAATGGACAAGCCGCCCCTGACAACAACAATAATAATAACAACACTTTATTTATATTCTGCCCTATCTCCCCAAGGGGACTCAGGGTGGATCACAGCACACATACACGGCAAACATTCAATGCCGTTTTAGATAGACAATACAGAGACAGACAGAAAAGAAAGGAGGTATGTTGCATCGAAATCCAGCTTTTTGGTGCCTTGGAGGTTGTGCTCGAATCCACAGGGGGTGCTGTTGATCCAAAGAGCCATCAGGACTTCCTCCTTCCCTTTGGTCACTGAGCATTTTCTGATCTTTTCCTTTATGGTGTCATAAAATACCTCCCCAGCTTGTTTAGCTGCACCTAATTTCTCAAGCTCAAGCAATAATAATAATAATAATAATAATAATAATAATAATACTATGCAGATACCACCGATTGACTAATTCAAGCTTGCTAATTTGCAACCTTCACACTTGCTTTAAAGTCTAAACAGATAAGGGTTCTTTCTCCCACCCTGGACATTATTCCACAGATATACAGTAGAGTCTCGCTTATCCGGCCTTCACTTATCCGACATTCTGTCTTATCCAACGCTCTTATTCAATGCTCCCCTTTTCCAGCAGCATTTCCACTTCAATTAAAGGAGCGCACCCCAACTCTCTCTCCATTCCCAATAAGTGAAAAAGGAATAAGGAAGGAGTTCCAGAGTTGAGGAGAATTTGCCACCGAGAAGGAAAGCCCCCTCTCTCGTTCCCATGATAGACATGATAGACTGAGAAGAGACATGATAGACAACACCACCTGAGCTCTGCGAGTGCAGCATTTTTCTGAATGAAGCAGAGAGTGAGGACCGGGACATCCGTAGGGATACCAAGGTGCTTTTTTTTTAAAGCCATTGTCCTCCCAACCCTGCTCTATGCCTGCGAAATGTGGACTGTCTACAGATGTCACATGCAACTCCTAGAACGATTCCATCAGCGTTGCCTCCGGAAAATCCTGCAAATCTCTTGGGAAGACAGGCGAGGAAATGTCAGTGTGCTGGAAGAAGGAAATGTCAGTGTGCTGGGCTCTCCTGTCCCCTTCTCTCTATCTTTTCTTCTCCAACCTGAACATCCCAAGCTCCTTAAGCTGTTGCTCAAGAGGATTCATGTCTTCCAAACATTTGACCATTTCATTGCCCCTCCTCTGGACCCCTTCCATCTTGTCCATCTCCTCCTTCAATTTTGGGGCAGAGTTATTATTACAGGTGAGGACTGACCAAAGCCAAATAGAGTGGGGCTATGACTATCATCCTAGAGAAGCCTACAGAAGAACATGCCTTTCACTGGACGCATTCCTTTATAGAGACGATGACCTCCCTCAATCTAGACACTATCCTCCTCCTCCTATAGAGGCCTACAGAGGAGTACGTCCTTGTTGAGACGCATTCCTTTATAGGGACAATGACCTCCCTCAATCTAGACACTCTCCTCCTCCTATAGAGGCCTACAGAGGAGTATGTCCTTCTTGGCACGCATTCCTTTATAGGGACGATGACCTCCTTCAATCTAGACACTCTCCTCCTCCTATAGAGGCCTACAGAGGAGTATGTCCTTGGGACACATTCCTTTATAGGGACGATGACCTCCTTCAATCTAGACATTCTCCTCCTCCTATAGAGGCCTACAGAGGAGTATGTCCTTCTTGGAACACATTCCTTTATAGGGACAATGACCTCCCTCAATCTAGACTCCTCCTCCTAGAGAGGCCTACAGAGGAGTATGTCCTTCTTGGCACGCATTCCTTTATAGGGATGATGACCTCCCTCAATCTAGACACTATCCTCCTCCTAGAGAGGCCTACAGAGGAGCATGCCCTTCTTGGAAAGTATTCCTTTATAGCCCTTCTACAACAAGTGTATCCCAACCCACTTATACTTTCTTCCCGTGGATTTTGCTGTGCATCACGAGGCGCTGGCTCTGCTTGAAACTCTTCCCGCACTCAAAGCACTTGTAGGGCTTCTCTCCGGCGTGGGTCTTCTGGTGATAGATGAGACTCGAGCTGCAGGTGAACTTCTTTCCGCACTCCAGGCAATGGTACGGCTTCTCTCCCGTGTGGATCTTCTCGTGGATGCGGAGGCTGGAGCTCTGGCTGAAGCACTTCCCGCACTCGAAGCACTTGTAGGGCTTCTCCCCCGTGTGGGTCCTTTGGTGGAAGGTCAGGTTGCGGTTGTTGCTGAAGGTCTTGCCACAGACCAGGCAGTTGTAGGGCTTCTCCCCGGTGTGGACCCGCTGGTGGAGGTTGCGGTGCGAGCTCTGGCTGAAGGTCTTCCCGCACTCGAGGCACTGGTAGGGCTTCTCCCCAGTGTGGGTCCGCTGGTGGGACACCAGGTGTGGTCTCTGGTGGAAGCTCTTCCCACACTCCTGGCATTCGTAGGGCTTCTCCCCATTGTGGATCCGTTTATGCAAGCGGAGGTAGGAGCTGTAGCTGAAGCTTTTCCCGCACTCTGAGCATTGATATGGCTTCTCCGCCGTGTGGACCCTCATGTGCAGGTTCAGCTTGGTGCTGCTCCGGAAGCTCTTCTGGCACAGTGAGCAGGTGAACGGCTTCTCGTCGGTGTGGATCCGGAGGTGCTGGATCAGGCTCGTGCTGTGGCTGAAGTCCTTCCCGCACTCCATACACTTGTACGGCTTTTCCCCGGTGTGGATCTTCTTATGTGAAGCCAGGCTGGAGGTGAAGCGGAAGGCCCTCCCGCACTCCAGGCACTTGTACGGCTTCTCCCCGGTGTGGATCCTTTGGTGTTTAACAAGGATCGCCTTCCAGCCATAGCTTTTGCCGCAATCTGAGCATTTGTAGAGTTTCTCTCCTGTGTGGATGCGCCGGTGTGTAGTGAAGCCCTTCATGTCACCAAAGCTCTTTCCGCAATCTGGGCACTGGTATGGTTTCTCTCCCGTGGGGATGTTTCCAGGTGAAATCCCATCTCCCTTTTGTATTTTCTGAGGGTCCTTTTGGCATTTCGGACACCGCCGTGTCTTTTGGCGAGTTGCCTCCGTGCCGTCACTGAAGTCCGCCCCACATTCCACGCATTTGTGCCATTTTTCTCTAGTGTGGATCCGATGGTGCGAACTAAGGTGCGCACTACGGCGGAAGCTCTTTCCGCATTCCAAGCACTTATACAGTTTCTCCCCAGAGTGAATTTTCTGGTGTGCTGTAAGGCTGGCCTTCGTAGCAAAGACCTTCCCACAGTCCATGCAATGATAGGGTTCCTCGGCGCAATGGGTCCTCATGTGTGAGGTGAGGTTTCCAGCCTGGTTATAGCACTTTCCACACACTGAACACTTATATGGCTTATCTCCTGTATGTATTCTCTGGTGGATAGTAAAACTCCTTCTATAGGTGAAACACTTCCCGCATTCCAGGCATATATAGGGCTCTTCCTCTCTCTGAGAATCAGGGCTGGATTTGGACAGGACTCTTCTCCCAAGTGAAGAGCGGCCATTCTTCCTTTTCTTCCCCTTCGGGATTTGGATCGGGATTTGAGAAAGGTCCTCCCTCAGCCAAGGAGTTGGTATACTCCACTCAATCTCTGCTCGGTTTTCCTTCTGTGTCCTTGATACTTTCTCCTTCACTTCTTCCTCCAACATTCTTGATTCTTTGTCTTTCTCAATAACTTCTTCCTTCACTTCCTCCAACATCCTTGATTCTTCGTCTTCCTCAATAACTTCTTCCTTCACTTCCTCCAACATCCTTGATTCTTCATCTTCCTCAAAGACTTCCTCCTTCACTTCTTTCTCCAACATCCTTGATTCTTTGTCTTCCTCAAAGACTTCCTCCTTCACTTCTTTCTCCAACATCCTTGATTTTTCCTCCTTCACTTCTTCTTGTAGTATCCTCGATTCTTCATCTTCCTCAAAGAGTTCTTCCTTCACCCCTTTCTGTGACATCCTTGACTCTTCGTCTTCCTCAAAGACTTCTTCCTTGATTACTCTTGAGATCACCTGGTATGGCTCCAGAGGACTGTCCTCCCCTGAAGAAATGACAAGGGGGATAATCTGTAGTCAAAAAACGCAATTGGCTCTCCATATTTATGGATTCTATTAATATTTGCTCTCTAGGTCCTCCAGTATGACTCTGTGGTCAGCTTCCACTGGACATTGACCATAGAATGATGCTGGATGACATGGTTCTATGGTCCACTTCTGCCAGAAGATGTCTACAGAGCAGGCATGGACAAACTTTGACCCTCCAGATGTTTTGGACTTGTGGGAGTTGGAAGTCCAAAAGACCTGGAGGACCAAAGTTGGCTCATGCCTGCTATAGAGTCATGCTGGGGAAATAGAGATACTTAGAGAGAGATACCTTCACACATGTGTAGAACCTCTAGAGCAATTCTATGTCTAATATCCAGGATTCCTAGAGATAACACGTCTCCATTTCTAGGACCTTTGGAGCCATGCTATGTTTACCTTCGTGGAAGCCACATTTGAAGACAAGATTCCTACAGAAAACACTTCTCCAGGTATTTGTAAAATGTCCATCTTGTCCTAGAGACTTGGATTTTAGAGTAACCAGATATTCTTTACCTATTCTGTGCAGCATTTCCCCTCCTGCATTCTCTCCACCATCCTCCCCTAGTTAAGCAACTCCAGCAGAAGCTAATCAGTCACACTGAAGGGCCTATATGTGCCCTCTTAAGTCCTCCAGCATGACTCTGTGGTCAGCTTCCATTGGACATGGACAATAGAGTGATGCTGGATGACATGGTTCTATGGCAGTGGTTCTCAACCTGGGGTCCCCAGATGTTTTGGCCTTCAATTCCCAGAAATCCTAACAGTGGGTAAGCTACCTAGGGTTTCTGGGAGTTGTAGGCCAAAAACATCTGGGGACCCCAGGTTGAGAACCATTGTTCTATGATCAACTTCTGCCAGAAGCTATCTATAGAGCAGGCATGGGCAAACTTTGTCCCTCCAGATGTTTTGGACTTGTGGGAGTTGAAGTCCAAAACACATCTGTAGGACCTCTAGAGAAGTGGTTCCCAACCTGTGGTCCATGGACAACCAGTGGTCCCCAGGGGGATAATCTCTAGTCAAAAAACACAATTGGCTCTCCATATTTATGGATACTATTAATATTTGCTCTCTAGGTCCTCCAGCATGACTCTGTGGTCAGCTTCCATTGGATGGACGACATGGTTCTATGATCAACTTCTGCCAGAAGCTGTCTATAGAGCAGGCATGGACAAACTTTGACCCTCCAGATGTTTTGGACTTGTGGGAGTTGAAGTCCAAAACACTTGGAGGACCGAAGTTGGCTTATGCCTGCTTTAGAGTTATGCTGGAAAAATAGAGATACTTAGAGATACAACTCGCATATGTCAAGGTCTATTTTCCCCCCAAGAGTGCCTCAAGAGCGCCCCTGGGCAAAATCAACTATAGGTATTAGGTATTTGTGCCCAGTTTGGTCCAGTGAATGAAAATACATCCTGCATATCAGATATTTACATTTATAACAGTAGCAAAATGACAGTTATGAAGTAGCAATGAAAATAATGTTATGGTTGGGGGTCACCACAACACGAGGAACTGTATGAAGGGGTCACGACATTAGGAAGGTTGAGAACCACTGCTCGAGAATGACCTGGGAAATGCCTAAAGTAGATATTATGGTCCAACTGGGGTCAACGACACCACAGGAACCAGTCCAACAGGGGTCGTACTGTATTTGCTGGTGCCGAGGTCCTAGGTCACTCAAGGTCAACGAAGAATTTCCTAAAGAGGGCATATATGGTCCAACTGGGTCAACGACACCACAGGAACCAGTCCAACGGTTATGGGGCTGCACTGTACTTGTGGGTGCAAAGGTCCAATGTCAATCAAAAGTCAAGGAAGGAACCGCAAGGGAAGATTCTTACCCGGAGGGGCTGCGTTCCCACAATCCCCTTCTTCCATGACGTCTGCTGTGCAGAATCCTCCTCTGTTATCCAACCCAAGTCCGTCAGAAAGGCCCTAAAAAGGAAGAGAGCAGAGTCTGAATCCAGCCCCAGAGATTAAGTCGCTCGCCTTGGACGTCAGCCGTTTTGGGATTTCGGGATCCTGGGTCTGAAACAAAGCCATTCAAAAGTTTTAAACTTCCATTCTATGTCTAATTTTTATTTTGTGTATTATTATCATTTGATCCATTTGAGACCCAAAATTTCAGAGGACGGCACTGGAAAAACCACTAAGAAAACCGTAACGCAGTGGTTCCCAACCTGTGGTCCATGGACCACCAGTGGTCCACAAGAACGAAAATATGGTCCGCGGCCTCACCGTTACTATACCGTTGCCTCGACACCACATGGCAACAAGAGCAACTGGTCTACCACATCAGCTCTGGATTATTAAATATGGGTTTCTGTACGTGAGTAGATGGCAACTACTGGATGGCCTATGTACTGTATCAGAAACTAGAGCTGATGTGGTCTATCCAATGCAATTTTCTGAATCAGCACCCCAAATAACCAAGCTGAATCTAAAGTTGACCAAAAACAGATTTGTAACCCTTTTGGTACTCATGTTGGAGAGCGGTCCCTGGTCAAAGTGGTCCCAAGTTTTAAAAAAAGGTTGGGAACCACTGCTGTAGTGGATAGCTATTTGGGGAGGCTCTTCATTGATTGGATTTCATTCCATCTATGTTTGATGTTTGGCATTATTATACACTAGCCCATTGCTGTGGGCCAGTCTGTGTACATGTGTTTTGTGTGTATGTGAGTATATATGTGTATATATTTGTGTGTCCTGCAAATCTCTTGGGAAGACAGGTGGACAAACGTCAGCGTGCTGGAAGAAGCAAAGACCGCCAGCATTGAAGCGATGGTCCTCTGCCATCAACTCCGCTGGACCGACCACGTTGTCCGGATGCCCGACCACCGTCTCCCAAAGTGGTTGCTCTACTCCGAACTCAAGAACGGAAAACAGAATGTTGGAGGACAGGAAAAGAGATTGAAAGACGGGCTCAAAGTCAACCTTAAAAACTCTGGCATAGACACGGAGAACTGGGAAGCCCTGGCCCTTGAGCACTCCAGCTGGAGGTCAGCTGTGACCAGCAGTGCTGCAGAATTTGAAGAGGCACGAATAGAAGGTGAAAGGGAGAAGCGTGCCAAGAGGAAGGCGCGTCAAGCCAACCCCGACCGGGACCGCCTTCCACCTGGAAACCAATGCCCTCACTGCGGAAGAAGATGCAGAGCAAGAATAGGGCTCCACAGCCACACACGGACCCACAAGAATACTGGAAGACAATCCTCCTTGGAAAACAAGGGATCGCCTAAGTAAGTAAGTAAGTGTGTGTGGTTTTACGCACGCATTGTAATGTATTTTTTATTTTTTGGATTTTTTAATCTCTTCTGCTGTATTTCACAGTGTTTTTATGAGTGATAGTCACTCGTTGGCCTGAGAGGTGCCTTGTGTCCAAATTTGGTGTCAATTCACCCTGTGGTTTTTGAGTTATGTTAATCCCACAAACTAACATTACATTTTTACACCCCGTATAGACTACTGCAATGCTTTCTATGTGGGGTTGCCTTTGAAGACTGCTCGGAAGCTTCAAATGGTCCAACGCTCGGCAGTCAGGATACTAACAGGAGTGGCATTCAGGGAGCATACAACTCCTCTGTTGCGCCAGCTCCACTGGCTGCCAGTTTGCTACCGGGCACAATTCAAAGTGCTGGCATTAGCTTATAAAGCTCGAAACAGTTCTGGTCCTGCTTACCTGTCTGAACACATCTCCTCATATGAACCAGCTAGGACATTAAGATCATCTGGGGAGGCCCTACTCTCGGTCCCACCTGCATCACAGGTACTGTGCTGGTACGGCTGTACCAGGAGCTTCAGCTTCATTTTCTTTCTACTGAGTGTTTGCATATATTCCAATGTTCCATGTATTTGCAGTAAGGTGGCTTCCCTTTGTTTGCAATTATAGGGCCAGTGACCTGTCTGTCATTGTTAAGTTTTGGTTCCGCCCCTTTTTCCAGGGCTCTGGGAGGGAAAGGGAACCATTTTTAGTTCAGTCTTATAGTGGGAAGCTTAGCTACAGGACGTGGATCAGCTCCATCTGTAGACAAGCTTTGTTTCTCACAGCATCCGGGGGAAACAGCTCCACATCTTTCGTGGAAAAGATCCAAAAGAACTCCAGCTGGAGAATCTACAAAGCCTTGGCTGGTAGGTCTACTCAGGTAACCAGAAGCAATTGGAGCCGGGAGTAGAGCCCACACCAGCAAGCATAGAAAGCAGATTGCCTGGGAGGGGTTAAAAAGGGTTTTCCCTTTAAAGAAAAGAAACAGTTCACGAAGTCAGTTACCTGTCCATTTGGGCAAGTTAAGAAGCATTTGTTTGATTTGATAAAGATCTAAGAAGCATTTGATTGTTTGTTGAAGACCTAAGCAATAATGAAGGACTTTGTTAAACTTTTCAACCATCTAAAGACTTTTGTAAAGGAAAATCCTTAGGGCCTCTCAGCCAAGGCAACCCGGCTTCCCGCTGGGCACAAAGAGCGCCTCCTGTTCAAAAGACAATTATTACAGGCCCAGCGCATGACAGCACAGACTACGAGGGATCACCTAAGTAAGTAAGTAAGGCTAGATAGATGGATGGATGGAGGGTTGATTGAAGGAGGGCTGGTTGGGTGAGTGGGTAAGTAGGTAAATGGTGGAATGGCTAGATAGATGGATGAATGGATAGAAATAGATGAACAGATGGATGGAGAGATAGATAGGTAAATGGGTAGAAAGGCAGATGAATAGATGGATACTTAGATTATCAGATAGATAGATAGATAGATAGATAGATAGATAGATAGATAGACAGACAGACAGATAGATAGACAGACAGACAGATAGATAGAAGGGTGGATGGACAGACAGACAGAAGGGTAAATGGTTTAAAAAGCAGGTGGAGAGGGGCTGCAGAGAAGAGCCTGCAGCCCCTTCCTCCTCCGGCTCTTGCTTTTACTCTGAAATGCATCCTGTGCCGTCACACCCAGACACTATAAAATTAGAACTAAGATGTGCTTCTCTCTTTATCTGGGTGGACCGCTGGTGTCTTTCTTAGAAGCTTAAGATTTTCAGCAACAGAGGCCATACGCCTGGCGGGGACGAGAGACAGGGCCTTCTCAGTGGTGGCCCCTCATCTGTGGGACGCCCTTCCTACAGAAATTAGATTGGCCCCCTCCCTATTGGCATTTCGGAGGAAAGTGAAGACCTGGTTGTAGAATGACCAGGGTGGGACAAAGAACTCTTGTCTGTTGGAGCTAGGTGTGAATGTTTCAATGACCACCTTGATTAGCATTTGATAGCCTGGGAAAACAAGCAGGGACATCTAATCACCTCTCAACAAAAGATTACCCCAGGCACTGCCAGGCCATCAAATGCTAATCAATGTGGTCAGTTGAAACATTCACACCTAGCTCCAGCAGACAAGGGTCCTTTGTCCCACCCTGGTCATTATTCCACAGATATATAAACCCACTTTCCTAGTCCCAACAGACCTCACTACCTCTGAGGATGCTTGCCATAGATGCAGGCGAAACGTCAGGAGAGAATGCCTCCAGAGCATGGCCATATAGCCCGAAAAAACCTACAACAACCCAGTGATTCCAGCCATGAAAGCCTTGGACAATATATTATTAGATACTCCATAATGTATTATGAGGATGCATTGTTGTACTACGTTTTTACCACCGATGCACGGTATTGGAGGCTCCTTCTTTGGAAGCTTTTAAACAGAGGCTGGATGGCCATCTGTCAGGGGTGATTTGAATGCAATATTCCTGCTTCTTGGCAGAATGGGGTTGGACTGGATGGCCCAGGAGGTCTCTTCCAACTCTTTGATTCTAATTTTGTACACCATTATATTGATTGCACTATATTGTTTTCTATTATTCCTAGTATATATTACGATACAGCGCAGGCCAAAAGTCACAAGGGGGTTCCAATAATTAGGAAATATTTTGTTTTGGTATCGGATTTTTAATAGCATAGCCTTATGCACAGTATATATAGGAAATAAATGTATAATAATGTGTTATATAATGCATGGGATTGGTAAATAAATAATTCAGAGAGCGTTATGAATAGGCAAAGCTCCTCTGTTGCTTTTTTGGACCATTCTGTATATATTATATTATATTTTGTTGTTGTTCATTCGTTCAGTCGTCTCCGACTCTTCGTGACCTCATGGACCAGCCCACGCCAGAGCTCCCTGTCGGCCGTCACCACCCCCAGCTCCTTCAAGGTCAGATTATATTATATTAATAATATAATATTATATTGTATGAATATATTGTTGTATATTGTATGAATAGGCAAGGCTCCTCTGTTGCTTTTGGACCATTCTGTATATATTATATTATATTTTGTTGTTGTTCATTCGTTCAGTCGTCTCCGACTCTTTGTGACCTCATGGACCAGCCCACGCCAGAGCTCCCTGTCGGCCGTCACCACCCCCAGCTCTTTCAAGGTCAGATTATATTATATTAATAATCATTATATTATATTATAATATTATAATTATATTATATATATTATTATATATTATTATATTATATTAATAATTATATTATATTAATAATATAATATTATATTGTATTATAATATATATTATAATAATAATATAATATTGCATTGCAGTATCACATAATTTTAATAAATGCAATCTCATAATTTAATCTAAGCAATAATATAATGTTACAAAATTGTGCATTGTGTAATATGTTATTTTATATTATATTTATAATATTGTATTATTATATTATAGTAATAATACAATATTATAAATATAATATTATAAAAATAACACATTACACAATACACACTTTTGTAACATTATATTATTGTTTAGATTGCATTGTGATATTGCATTTATTAAAATTATGGGATACTGCAATGCAATATTATATGATTACTTGCAATAATGCAACAAATACATCCTTGCATTGCATTATTTCCAATGCAAATGAACCAATGCAACATATA